GGGTCTTTACCTTCTTTGGCGATCGGTACTATGATGGCTTCTTTCCATTGCTCCGGATATGTACCGGCGCACCAAATGCTATTAAACAACTCTAAGAGGCGACGCCTAGCCACCTCTGGGAAGTGGCGAAGCATCGCGTTAGGGACGCCGTCGATACCAGGAGCTTTGTCTTTTAGATCGTCTAAGGTTTCTTCTAGTTCAGCCATCGTTATTGGTCGGTTGTACTCTTCCTCGTTTGCGCTAGTAAAGTCCAGTAAAAGCTGTTCCATTCTGCGCTTTTCTGTACGGAACCTTTCGGTGTATGACCGATCGCACGACACTTCCTCGTAGTGATGAGCCAGCGCATCGGCCACCTCCTTTGGCTCCGTGATGGTTCGATCAGTCACTTTTAGTGCTGGTATTATTGGTTTGTTTGTCTTCTCCGCAATCGTGTTTATTTTTCTCCATATCTGCATCGGCGACGTTTCGTTATTTAGCCCCGATATATATTCTTGCATGCTTCTCTTTTTCTGTTGGATCAATAACCTTCGTTCTTTTTCTGTTGGATCAATAATCTTCGCTCTTTTGCTCTTTTTATTTTAAAATCTTCTAAATTGGCCGACGTGAAACTTCTTTTCAATTTTTTAAGCGCCCTTTTCTTTTCTTTGTTTGCCGCCTTACACTCCTCAGTCCACCACGGCACCCCTTTTCGACGAATGGGGGTTCCTCCTGTTTTGGGCACTGAGTGCTCGGCGGCCTGTTTTACATTTTCTGTGAGGATGTGGACGTCTCGTTCCACGTCCCCACTCATATCTGAAATATTCAGGGCACTTGTGAAAGTTTTCCAGTCGTCCTTACGAAGGTTGTATCTGATCGCGGGGGTATAAAGCGTGTTACGAATGGTAGTTTCAATGATAATTGGCACGTGATCGCTGTTATATTCGTCGTTTAAAGTGTTCCATGAGAGGCTAGCGGCAATGGACGGACAGGCGAAACTCAAGTCGATCGCACTGAATCTTCCAGTATAAATACTAATATACGTCGGGTTTCCATTGTTAAGTAGCACCATACCGTATTCATCTATAATATCTTCTATACGATCGCCCCTGGAGTCCGTCGTCTCCGACCCCCACATTGTATTGTCGGAGTTGAAGTCTCCTAGTATCAGGCAGGGACGAGGTAGTTGATCTATTATTCTTTTAATTTCTGTATGGTGCCACCTTCTATCTGGGAGGTAGATATTGCATAAGATCATCTCCAATGGAGTTTTTATTTTTATTGCGATCGCTTGTATTTCAGTATGTAACGTCAGTTTGTCGTATTTGAATTTTTCGTTTATGTATAGCGCTACTCCACCATGCGCCCTTCCACCGGGTTCGGGATGGATTTCCCTGCTTACGCAGGAAAAACCCCGGAGGTGATATTTCTTCCCGGGTAGAAGATGGGTTTCCTGTAGCGCTATTACCATTGGTTGTTTATATCTAATTATTCGTTGTAATCCTTCTTCATTATTTTTTAACCCTCTCACGTTCCATTGCAAAATGTTTTCGTTCATCATTATTGTTAAAAGTACAAATTATTATAACTGGTTGGTCTATGGCATGAGTCATGTCTCTATTGATTGTTCTGCTGCTGTTGCTTGTTTAGGTGGCTTGCGGGGTTTTCCCTTGGGCCATCCTTTCTTGTTTTTCTTTTTAACCTCCTGGAAATCTTCCGAGTCGACCGAGGTAGTCGACTCGGTCCCGGCGTCCCTCAACTCCCACTCCCCAAGCTTTTTGACGTCCTCCGGATTTACTCCGGGAGGCATCCGCTCGAGGGAGAGAGACGAGGGACCCGAGATGTCTCCAGGGGTCATTATTGGTGGAGGGATAGTCGACGGCGAGGCCGTCGGACCTTCCGTTTTATTACCTCCGCTCATTGGCGGAGGTTTATTTGTTCCTCCCTCCAATTTTGAGGGAAGGTTTGAGGGTGCCATAACACCCTCCACTGGTTTTACCCCGTCTTTAGGTCGGGGAGGGGCACCAGTGGAACCCCGGAAGGTGTATATTGGTGGGGATGGCTCCGTTTGGACGGCCATCTCCATGGTCGAACCTTTTTTTGGTGCCGACTGTCTGGCAGCCCTCGCATAGCTCATATTTGGCCGTGAAAACGCTGAGCTGCGGACTAGTGCTCTTGCTTCGACATGACTCATGTCTTTTTCTGCCTTTAACCTCTGTATTTCTCTTTCCTCTTTTAGTATTGGGCACGCACTGGACCTTGCATGGTGCGGCCCATCACAATTTACACACCTCGGCGGATCTACACATGGCCGTCCTTCGTGCACCGGTACGCCACACGAGCAAATCGTGTTCTGGCTTCTACATCGAAGTGCTGTGTGGCCAAACTTTAAGCATTTGAAGCATCTCATTGGTGCCGGTACAAATGGACGGACCAAGAATCTTTGGTATATAGCCCGTACTTCTCTTGGCATCTCTCGTCTGTCAAATGTTAATATGAGAGATGCTGTATTTATGAGACCCCTGTCCGTTTTTCGTTTTATTCTTTTTACTTCAATCACCCCCTGGCTTGACAGTTCTTCTTTGATTTCCTCCTCAGAGCATATTAGTAAATCTCGTGCTGAGATTACGCCCTGGGAGGAATTCAGCTTTCTGTGGGGGGTGGTTTTAGCAGGGGTTGCGCCGAGGTGTTTAGTCTACATGACCATTTTGGCCTGCAGAGAGTCAGTAACCTTTATACTCAGGATTCCAGATGACAATTTCTTTAAATTTTTAACTTTTCCCATTTGTTGGTTGACTACACGGCAGATCTGGATGTGCGAGTCATCTATAAAATCCCCCTCTTTTTTTTCCATGATCCAGTATCTTGTGAAATTCTTTGTCATCTGGTCTTCACTATCACTTCCGCTCTTTTCTTTTCTAATTCTTTTCCTTTTTTGGACTCCGGCTCAAATGGCTGCTGTGTCCTCACTAATTCGGTGTTACCTTTTCCGTTCCTAGCAGTATCCATACGTTGGGTGGCGCTGCTCTCACCACCAACTCCAACGGGGCCCGAGGGAATAACGCCGAGGGTGGCCTGTGCCCCCGACGTCACCGGCATTTCGCCTTCCAGATTTACGGCGTTTTTTTCGTAGTTTGTGGAGCTTGTTTGTTTTAGGCCAAGGGGAAGCTACGCCTAGCCGATTAGTGGGGCTGCCACTAAAGGTGAACAGGCACACCTCCCCCTCCTTAAAGCCTGGGACGCCGGGGGAAGGAACAGGGAGGAGGTTAGTGTTGGAGAAGGGGTTATTATAGGAATGGAAAGTTAGGTAATGAGGTTAGTAAGGGGATGAAGTGTTACGGAAGGCCACCAGGTACAGGTGGGGTATTGGACGCAGTTTAACCTCTTGCCCGGGAGGATCATGTCTGTTTTTTTTGTGTCTATTGTTTTTCCACCATTTTCGCATTAGTTCTGTTCGAATCTTGCCTCGGACAAATTAACTTTTAATCCCGAAAATATTTTGTTTGGCGACTGACAATGCTCGAACAATAATTAAATAAGTATAATAAGGATAATTGTAATAAAGTATTGTGCGTCCAAAAATTCTTTTTTATATATTTAATCAATGACCTGAACCTTTTTTATTGTTGCAAAAATATGTTTGTCGAGATCTTGACCATGCTGAGAGATAATCTCTCATTTGACCAATATAGCACAAACCGAATATTAAGAAAAATAATCATTTTATTATTCGGAGATCATGAGTTGCGGTGTGGTTTGACACAGGTTTTAGAAAAACATTTTCTCTCTCGTGCCGACGGTTCAATCTTTATTGAGATCATCTTCAGGGCCTGGGATTTATAAACAGTGTTTAAATTTTCAAATACTTGTAGGATGGGAAGAAATGAGTTTATAGACTGCTAGAAATTTTAGATTAAAAAAAATGAATTTATACAATGGTAAAAATTTTTAGATTCAATCAAGGAGTTTGTTTTCCTTGTAGGTAAGTCATTTCTGTCTGTCGTGTTGACAGTGCCAGTGAGATATTGATGTTTATGTTTATATACGTTGGATTTTGAATCATTGACTAACGGTCACTAAACACCACATATTTATTTTACTGTATAGTTATTTATGAGGTCATGCGACGTATTATGAGTAATGTGCTTGATACGTTTTTATTTTATATCGTTCTTTGTTGACACTTGTCACAATAAAAATTAAATGATAACCTCCTGTTCACGTAAAAAGTATCTTCTGAACTAAGATAACCCTTGGATGAGCCGTTTCAATCTCCTGCCCTTTCTTTCCCAATGCGCTTATTTGTGATCATTTCTTTTGCTATTTTATCTTCAAGAGATATTAGATTAGATTTTAAAATTTTCCTACTGTACAGGTTTCGTTAACAGCATACCTTTTTTCTAATTATGACATAATAATAATTTTCCGTCATGAAATATATATGATCTGGAAACATCAAAAATTACGGAAAGGCCCGGTTTTAGTGATGCGTCTTGAATCGTAGAAATCTTTCATTCTAATCGTATCTAAATAATATCAATGTAATTGGTGGTGTAGGAACATAAACTAAAACCGTAGTTTTTGCTTTCATTATTTGGTATAACGGTTTTTTAGAGACATTTTAATAATCTGAATTGCCTTTCTTTTGTTCTTTTTCTATTCCATCTCTGGTGTTAACCGACCTTTGAAAAATTAAGTAAATTAATGTACTGCTCATTATTTGATCCACCTATTCTGTAAGTGTCATAAGTGTCAGTATTTACAGAACCAAGAAAAATTTTCTTACACTTTAGACGAAAAATTTGGAAACTCTTACACGTTGATAATGTAAATTATTTGGAAGTTTTTTTGCTTATAGTTACAAGAAAAAACAACTATATGTTATTGGGTTTTTAATGCTCGTTCCATTCGTGTAATTAAATTTACGGCGAAATTAAGTTTTTCTAAGTTTCAGGAGATTTTATGAAATAAATTTATGAAAGTTTGAAGTATACTGAAAGGCGAATCTAAAAAAAAGTGAATTTCGAACCCAATTGAGAGTGAGACTTTGAAGAATAAGGACTTGGTAGTCCAATTTGACATAGTGGATCACCCGTGTCTGTTGACAAAGCACCGTGTATAACAGCCTTCAAATATCTGTTCAAATATCAAAATCGTTACAAATTTGTTTACAAGGACTTTTTATGAATGGTTTTGGTTGAGCTGAAATAGTTATAAATAATTAAAATAATTCATACCATCAATTATGAGTACTATATATATATATATATATATATATATATGTGTGTGTGTGTGTGTGTGTGTGTGTGTGTGCTTTAAAAACTATGTAATTTAGTTTTAAATAAATTATCGTTCACTTCAAGACGTATTTTTGGCCTAGTATACCTAAAAAGAAGTAATTGGGTTAATTTTTTTATTAAAAATTAAAAACTCAATTTGTGAACAACAAAATAGAACTTATTTAGTACTCTCAGTGTACAATGACCGAACAATTTTGCAAAATGCTTGAATTAATTTCGGATCCGCGGTAGGGCTGGTATACATTTAATTATTAAATAAGAACAAAAGATTCCGGATTCAACATTTATTAAGTCTTTACAAATTATAGTAATAGATGCCGGCACTTTAATCTAATTTAACAATATTCTCTATAACTAAATTTGATTTACATATGAATTTATTATCTTATAAATAATCAAGAGTGTAAGTTCCAAAATACTTGAGTTCACTTCATGGCGAAGAATTTAATTATCAAATCCGTAGATGCGGCAGGCGGGCAACAACAATAATAAAAAGAGCAATCTCGAGCACAACGTATCAGCACGAGATTGTTACCTGATGTCTAGTTNGGAGGCCTTGATCTCGGAAATTTCTTGTGTTAGAAGGGTGAGTGCCTCAAGTATAGAAGAGGAAGTATCAGTGATACTGGCAGGATTGTTGTTCGGCGGAGAGCGTGCCGACCGTTTCGTGGGCGAGGGTTTCCTGTTGGAGCTCGTACACGGTGGACAACTCCATTGTTTGTGCAGCGATTTAACCGATGCAATATCATCCTCAGAGAAATCCACGCACCTTCCATGTAGCAAGCCATTGCAAGCAGAGCACCGCATAGACTTTTTGTCATCCCTGCTGACAGTTTTATTGCAAATACTGCAAATGGCCATGGCTGCAACACTGACTTTGTGTGATGAGTCGGTTAGTGGTGCAATTTAGGAAAGGACTATTATGACGAAAGCAAGGTAGTACTCACGACGTAACAAGTGCCAATTATCAGCCGTTGGTAAACACGTTATCCCCACTATCGCCTCAACGTTATCACCAGTATTGTTCAAGCCGGCCTGGTAACGAGAATCCAGTCACGTGAAAACGCAGAAATTAAGTCGGATATTTTGCCCGAAAACGAAGAAGAATGGAAAATCGAAGCTTATCTACAGGATTAAGATGTTGCTCCACACAAGTAAGCCAAAATTAAAAGCAATTGACAAACCTTAGACCGGCAGGAAAAGCAGTTGAACCAGAGTCGATGTGTCGCGTGTCGCTTCAAAGAAGGTAATAATGAGGTAATGAGGTAATAATAAGAATACTATGTAATAAAGTATGAAAGAAAGCATAATCAGGCACAAAGCCTATAAGAATATATGACTCATCTCTCAATCAATTTTGAACGACCTTCCAAAATTGGTCGAACTTTAAGTGATGAGAAAGAAACGAGGAAGCACGGGGTCATTCACAATAAAAATCATATGTATCTATATATCAACTCATTATCTAATACCAAAATATATACCAAAAATAACAAAATTTCAGGCTTTATTCTAAGGATAGATGGAAAATAAGCAATTACACCCAACAAATAAAAACACGCGCCCAATTTTCCACTTATGTGTGACCTCAGAGGATTTCTTTTCAACCCAGCTAAAATTTTGGTGGCCTCACAAAACAACAATTGACCAAATTTATGAATGTATTCAGAATCTTTTAAATCTAAAAAATAAATGGATAAATTCATGCTCAGTTTATTTTATTTTTTGTTGTTATGGTAATAATAAATGAAAAACCTCAAGAGGAAAGATATAAGGTAAAAAAAACAAAAAGGCAATATAACCCGAACCTAATTTACCTAGTAAGTTGCAGAATTCACAGCTTTCAAGTAACAAATCCACAATTGTTTTCTTAATGTTTAACATTAAACCAAAGCAATGGTGTGGCTTAGATCGTTTTATGCTGCTCGTTTTTCGAATAGGCTTGCTAAAAGTGGTCGTAGTACCTTATAGCCTTGGTGAAAGGCGGTGAAAAGGCGGTAGGCCTTGTTTACATGAGCTCAACCCATGCTGGACACGTTCTTCTGTTGATGTACGTTCCACTTGCGACTGTCATACAGACACAATGCCGCAATTTGGGCCTGGTAGGCCGACTTGATCGCCGCTTCTTTGTATGCCTTATGAATTATTTTTATCCTCAAATGTATCGGGACGTTTTGCATAAACAACAACATTCCTGATAACGTAGTCCTCAAATTTTCAACCAAGAGAAGAACTAGTACAAAATGAATGCACATTCAATTTCAACTTTCTTACTTTCCAGGTTATATCGTCCTCACTTTACTGAGAAAAATCTACCTTTAGCAAAAAATGTAAATGTTAAATGTATTTTGTTAAAAAAAAATTACAATTGAAATTCAACAAAGTAACTATCAATATTTAACAAATAATTAACGTTTTTTATTAACGTTCTTTGTATAGCCTGTTCATTACTCCAGAATTTCTGTTGGTTGATTATTTCCCGTTTCCTTTTTTGTAAATTACTTATGCTTTCATTCCTCCCCTAAAGCCAAATATACTTACAAACATTGTTTTATAATGCCGCATTGACTCATGTTTTTCCCTTTTAACTAAAATAATGTTTAAACTCACTATTTCTCTCATAAGTACATTTAGTCTGTCCTCCTGTAGAAGACCTGATCAATGAGGTCTTTTTAACAGTAGGTTTTGGATTAATTAGCACTAATCGCATTATCTATACCCATTTGTACAACGAAGATTTTCTTTCTATTCAGCAATGAGCAGGAGGAATCTTTAAATACCGTCGTAAAAGTTAAAAACTAAGACAAAGTACAATCTCTCTTTTATATATTTACATATTGGTAAATGGAAGCGAAGTAATTCTATTTAAAATATTTAATGGATAATTTTTAATGAGAAATTATTTTTTGCAATTAGCAAACACACCAGTTCACTTATAGAATTGTGAATTAAAAATTTTTCATAACCCCTGATATTCATTTTTAAGAATATGATGAATGTAAATTTCCGATTGAAGGTGAGGCCAGTCTTGGAACTATACTAACTTGAAAGCTTGAAATTAGCGTCCCATTGAAACATTTGAACACTGTTCAGCTAATTATTAATAATTTATTTCATTTTTTGCATGGAAATTTTTTTTATGGATATAGGCTTTCTATATTTGAACAACCATCTAAGTCATTGCCATTGTCTCCCGTGAGCTTTCCAAATTTGTATAATAAAAACACAACTTTTGAACGTGAGGAACGAATTTTTTTTACATAGAAATAAACGGCAGAAATCCTTAAGAGCTGTCTTCAAATTTGAAAAATACAAAAGGAGAACGGAATTTTTTTACATATTAGCATTTTTTAAAGGGCCCCGTTTAAATTTTTATTAAAAACATAGTTAATAATGCACTAATTTCGTGGTCCGCTTGACCAATTAATATATTACAATTAATTAAGGTTTTTAGTTGAGATAAAAAAGACAATGACACGAGCGCGATTCAAATTCAAAAGGTGTTGAGATGGGAAGTTGATGCCCGAGTGCATCGAGGTCACGATAGCTCAAGTGGTACAGCAGCGGCGTATATAGCCGAAGATCGTGGGTTCAAAACCCACTCGTGACACTGTCTTTTTTATCTCAATGAATACCTTACATAATGATTAATCACTTAATTTTATCTTCATTGATCTTTCCTTGTCATTGACTTTTTATCTCAACTAAAAACCTTAATTGATTGTTAGTTAANTTATATATTTATATACGTATATATTTTATACGTTATATAACAATTTGTAAAGGATGATATTTAACATTCTGAAAAAAGAAATAATTTATTGATATTTTTATAAAATAAATTTAAATAATCAATATTGAAAAGTATATAAATTTTTATTATCTTGATAGAAAGGGATTAATTAACTAAGTTCTCAAAAATTTTTGATATTAAATACGGTTTTATTATAAAAATGTACTTTTTATTTTCGAAATTTAATCACATAATCAAGCTCTTTCCATTTCGTATACATTTAATTTAAAATACATAAATTATGTGTCCGCATAAACAGAGTTTTTAATTCGAAAGAACATATCACAATTAATTAGGATTCTGAAATCCCAAGCCCGACATAGCAGCTCATTAATTAATTTTAAGCATAGACTTTCTTTTTTATAATTTAGCATAAAAGTTCTGGGCGTCGACATTGAAATAATACATTAAATTAATTAAGCTTTCGTAAGTAAGCCATGTGATATATTTTGATGTAAATTTGTGTAAAATTAACATGCCTCGGCTTAGGACATATCAGCCTTCTGGCAGAATGTTTTTCTTTTTTTTTAACCATATTTACTAGCCAAACAATAATAGGAGCAAGGGTTTGCACAAAATATTTTCCATTTTTTATATATTTAGGTGTATTCGCTAAAATAAAAAATAAGAAGTGCACATTTCATAAATCATTTAAAAAAGGAAATATTGCTTAGTTCACCGTAAAGTAATACAATTAAAGATGGATATACCTACCAAATGAGAGAGAGTGAGAGAGAGAAGAGAGAAAGAGAGAGAGAGTGTGAGAGAGAGTGAGAGAACAAGGAAAAAGTGGGAGGGAGGAAGGGAGAGCAAAGGAGAATGAGAGAGAAGGGATGAGAGAAAGAGAGAGTGAGTGGGAGAGAGAGAGAGTGAGAGAGAGAGAGCGAGAGCTTGAGAGAGAGAGAGGGGAAGGGAGAGAGAGAGAGAGAGAGAGAGAGAGAGAGAGAGAGAGAGAGAGAGAGAGAGAG